CATTGAAGGGGAAGGTCATCTTAGTTCTGATAGTGAGTTAAAATCGCCTTAATATCGACCCATGAAAAACCAAACGCTGATCATCCCTTCAATTGTCGATAGCGATCCAACCGCCAATCAGAACAACCCTAATTTCAAGATGTAAATGCACTTATTTGATGACATTCTGCTTTTATTCTGTTCAATTTTTAGTCCAAGCCTTCCTTGAAACATGTTTTTTTTTAATACAGCAAATGTCATCACAGTTTTTTTGTCTTTTTAATTGTTGCCACATATTGTAGCTGATTTGTTTCTTAAAAGCAGCTGGAGGTCAGAAACGGTATCAGGCAATATCTGTGGATGTGTCCATGTCTTTATATTTGCCAAAGGCAAAGTGAAATCATTGCACGACCATTTCCATTTCCACTGCTGTTAATTTTCTCATTAGTTTGCTCCATTGTCTCTGTTGCCTGACTCTCTGTGCTTCTCTCTTTTTTTTCTGTGCACTCTCTTTTTCCTCCTGCTGCGGCTGGACTCTTGATTGTGCTCAGGCTTTCTATTGATAAGGATATTGATAGGTACCAGTGACCAGAGAACATAAGGCTCCTTCAGTGAAAGACCTTTATGCTTCTCTTTAGTTTTATAGATTCATAGAAATAAGTTTGTGCTTTAGTTAGCATGTTGCATTAGGTCTGCCTTTATTTCCGCCAACATTCAGTGTCTGAAGAAACAAATCCTATTTCAGATGGTTTATGGACAAGTAAAGGCAATCTTAGATGCAAATGAAACCCCTTTTTTGTATTAGTTTGTGTCATGGTATGTTGATGTTCTGTGGCACCCAGATTGCAAATGAATGTTCTCAGCTGTTATTCACTGTATTTCATTACAACCAAAGCCAATGAGGCACCAACAAGGCAGTTCTGCCTCTCAGTCTGTGGGCAAGAGTGCCCCCTGCTGCCACAGACAGGAACAGTGTGACCCCTGAAAGAGCCTCACAAACAGACGACCTGTTATATATATATATATATATATATATATATATATCTCTGTAAAGTAGTCTGATAGTCTTTGCATTGATGCTGTCAGGTACATTATGTGTATGATAGGTTAAACCTGACATGCAGAACATATAAACCTGATATTCTACTTGCCACCATTTGGGTTTGTGTCAACTGACACACACAGCTCGCTGCACTCGGCACATTCCTGACACTCCTGTTATCTATTGTGGCTCCTGATCACGTTGTGTCTATTGTCAAGCTCTACCACCTCAGTGTGCTTTCTCACAGCTTGTCTAGGGATAAGTGTGAGGGCCACTTCAATTGCTGCACGGTGTTCACCGCCCAATCTGTCAGAGTTGTACTCACGTTGTCAATTACAGAACAGCATCTCACTCTCTATGTTACAAAACTGGGCTCTTCCTCTGTATCCACACAGATCCTGCACAAAGCACAGACTAGGACCTTATAGTAGATAATACTAAGAAAGCTGATGTCTCTGTAAAAAAATTTTATAGCTGAAGAAATTTTGGTTTTCCTCTTCAGGACTTTCTACCGCTTCGAGGCCGTGTGGGACAGCTCCCTGCACAACTCCCTCCTGCTAAACAGAGTCACTCCATATGGAGAGAAGATCTACATGACCCTGTCTGCTTATCTGGAGGTCAGTCATTGCTCTTCTGTGTTGTACCTTTTTTTTGGCGTTGAGCTCTATATGTTGAGACTCTGGATGTCAACACAGCTCTTCTCTTCACAGCTGGACCACTGCATTCAGCCGGCCATTATTACCAAAGACATCTGCATGGTCTTCTACTCCAGAGACGCAAAGATCTCCCCTCCCCGTTCCCTCAGGAACCTCTTTGGGAGTGGATACTCCAAAACCCCTGACTGGTAAGACTTCAGACTGATGTCCATTTCTATTTGGATCATGTTATAATCCATACAGTTTACTTAAAACAATATCCCTTTCTTCATTACAGCAATCGAGTCACCGGCATCTACGAGCTGAGCTTGTGCAAGATGTCTGACACTGGAAGCCCAGGTGAGCAGACTCAAACTCTGCCAGTTTTATCGTGATTCCTCTGAGAGCTTCACCCTAATGAGTGCTTTCGCCCTGAGCAGGGATGCAGCGGAGGAGGAGGAAGGTCCTGGACACATCAGTGGCTTATGTGCGTGGAGAAGAGAACTTGGCCGGCTGGAGGCCCAGAGGAGACAGTCTCATCCTGGAGCACCAATGGGAGCTGGAGAAAATGGAACAGCTGCATGAGGTGGGTCCTTAAAAATCACATTCACCCCCAAAATTTTATGAACCTGCCAATGCTTTCTTTTGTCTCCCTACTATGTCGCTGTCCAACCACTGACAGAAAAATACCTTCTTTCCTTTTAAAAAGTTTCTTTTATGATGGAAATGTGCACCTAACTCTCTCCCCCTGTCATTCGTCCAGGTGGAGAAGACCCGCCACCTGCTCCTGCTGAGGGAGAAGCTTGGAGAGGCGGCACCAGTGGGAACAGCTCCCACCACCAAGTCCCTGAGCGAGTCGCTGTCGCCCAGCATGAGCTCAGGCACCCTGTCCACCTCCACCTCCATCTCCTCGCAGATCTCCAGCACCACCTTTGAAAGCGCCATCACGCCCAGCGAGAGCAGCGGCTACGACTCCACCGACATCGAGAGCCTGGTGGATCGGGAGAAGGAGCTGGCTACTAAGGTGAAAGCAAATTCAGCATTATGGGATATTAACAGTTCAACAGCTTCCTTTTTCTCCTCGGCAGAACAGCTCAGTCTCATCTTTGTTCTCTTGTAGTGCCTGCGCCTCCTGACACACACCTACAACAGTGAATATAACCAAGTGGTCAACAGTATCAGTGACTGCAAGGTGAGTTATGATAAAAAGAAATTAAAATAACTAACTAAACTAACGTGACTACAGTGTGATGTCTCACTAAATTCTACTGAATTCCAGATATTCTTACAATAGTTTTGAAAGTAGTTTATACGTGTACAGTGTCTGGTTTAGCTGCATCTCACTGCTCATTGTCTGTAGAGATGTAGCAAATAGACAAGTGAGTTAATTTAACATTTCTTAATAATAATAAAAAAATGTATTTTTCCTTTTGCAGTGTTTGCCTTGGAAACATAAAACAGTGTGTTTTAACAAATATTTCTTGCTCGTTTTCTTCAGCTGTCTGACATCTCACCAATCGGTCGGGACCCGTCGGTGACCAGCTTCAGCAGCGCCACCCTTACCCCCTCCTCCACCTGCCCTTCTCTGTCTGACTCCCGCTGTGGTTCAATGGACCAGAAGTAAAACTCCTCTTTAATTCATAATTTGTCTACATATCTAGTGCCTGTATAAAATATACTGGAAGCACAATTCATTTTTGGAGATGTAATTTATTGGGGGCTATCCCCAGGATGCTAACTTTGAGTACTGTGTCCCTAAGGACCCCAGAGAACAGCTCCCGTGCCTCCAGTCCTTCCTGCTCGGATTATGAAAACTTCCCGATGGTTCCCACTCTGGAGACTTCCTACCTTGCACGGGCTGGAAAGAACGAGTTCCTCAACTTGGTGCCTGATATTGAAGAAATGAGGCCGGGGTGTGTGCCGACATGTTCGCTCTTTTGCTATTATTTTAGTCTTTTAGGCTTTTCTTTTCCTTTCACTTTTATGCGCAGTGATGCAATTTCTAAAAGTCAATATGAGATGCATCTCACAGCCCAAACAAAAATAGATAATCCTGTTTTCTAATCCAAGCCGAAATGATGTGAATCGATTTGCACTGCTGAACCTGGGTGCATTCACCTGGAAGCAGAAAACAAGCACTTCCTCAAAACTAAATAATTTAACTAATTAGGTCATTCTTTTTTTGGCTCCTTTTCAGATCTGTAGTGTCCAAGAAAGGTTTCTTAAGCTTCATGGAGCCGCGCTCCAACTCGTGGGTGAAGCACTTTGTTGTTGTGCGCCGGCCCTACGTCTTCATCTACAACAGCGACAAGGACCCGGTGGAGCGGGGTGTCCTCAACCTCTCCACAGCGCAGGTGGAATACAGTGAAGACCAGCAAGCCATGCTCAAGGTAAGAGTTATTCCTGCGTCTCAACATCTGATCTGCAGCCTCTGCCATCAGCTGAATAACTGAACATTCACGAGGTAAATACCTGTGTATCCCTCATTAGAAGAAAACACTGCACCAGATTTATCACAAATTAGCAAAATGTGCAACATTCAAACAACTTGCAAAAACTGTCTGTTCTCCTTTAACAACCTGAAAGCTTGCATGTGCATTTTATCTGATAGAAAACCTGAAAGACGTGCAGTTTGACCAATATTTGATGTTTTTTCCTTTCAGACTCCCCACACGTTTGCTGTGTGCACAAAACATCGAGGAATCCTCCTGCAGGCCAACAACGAGAAAGACATGAACGACTGGCTATACGCTTTTAACCCTCTGCTAGCAGGAACGATAAGGTACACACACACCCATATCTTACACCACACCTAACATGACTGAACCACCTTCTTCAAAAACT